TCTTTTAATCTCAGAGTCAAAGCAGCTGGCATTAAAGAAGTACAGTCTCCAGTAACGCTTGAGCATTTTTGTGCATGGGCTGAGCCCATGGCTGTGCTAATTGCTGAGAAACGTAGACTTAAAAAAAAAAAGAAAAATCATAGCTTGCCAATGGTGACATCACTAGTCAGACTGATTCTGAATTATAGGCTTTAGTAAATGTTTAGGATAGGACAATTGCACACTGTGCTTCAGACCAGTAATTCCTTACAGCTGGTTACACCATAATAAAATTAAAATAAAGGATTCTAGCTTTCCCTTCAGTCTTTTGTCAGTTACTTCTTGGACTTGGGCATTCATTTTTTTCTTGGCTAATCATGTGTTAATGCACAAATATAAAATATTTTAGAATAATTTACCTTCTGTTACAGGGTCATTTGGTTTATGGTCTGAATGGTTTTTGAAAATACAGCTTTGAACACCATAAACGATTACATGAAATGGCTGACACAAGCCTTAGTTACTGTGAACTAGAGTGTACCATGAGCTTGGAGCTTTGCTTCCAAGCCCTTTTAATTAGTAGACCAGGTCTGGATTCCAATTACACTCTTGTAATTCTGTTGCTTCCAATAAAGCAAAATTTGTGCTTGTATTTGCTGTTGAAATCAGTTTAGGTTCATATCTGCATCAGTCAAATTGAAATTTAAATACATGCTTTTTTTTTTCCTACAAACTCTGAGTGAAAAGTATCCTATTGTAAGAGCTCTTATTTTGCGTAATTAAACAGTTGGTCATTTCACACATTCAGACTTTCCAGCATGTTGTGATAGATGCATAGTCCAGGTGTTCATAATCACATAGGAATTTCTGCCATGGTTAAAAGTGAGTAATCTGGCCTTTCAAATAATGAATCACTTATCAGCAAAAAACTTAATTGCTCATAAGAAGAGTTTTGCAGTGAATCAGAGACTCTGCTCGTGCAATTATGGGTTTGGTCTTTCAGCCATTTTAAGATGTGATCCAAAGGTCTTGGACATCTGCTACACAGTTAACCCTAAGAAGATTAAATCTTGTTGAGGAAGAGTAAAACGTGTACACAGCGGAGAGGCTGAGCAAGGATTGCATATCACTTTGCTCTTCAGTGTTGGCTTAAACAAGCTATAAATAGACTACAGGTCTATGTTAGCCCCATTGCATATCTGGACCAAGAGACAACGTGTAGCAGGATGAAGAATTTTGTGGAGACTGGGTAGGAAATGATTTTCCCATCTAATGAAAGAGCCTGAGATGTTGGATTTGTTTCACCCGCTAAAACAAGGGAAAGGGGAGCCTGGACAAGATCTCTGGGATATCAGAGACACAGGCTGGAGTCCCAAGATGAACATAAACTAGTATCTCAGGCTCCTGCAACCCAAGAAAACAATTTAGCTTTGTTGTAAAGGAATTACCCATTTGTGACCCAAAAACTATGTCCTTGTTTGTTCAAACTAGAGCAACTCCTGCAGGAGAGACTGGAAGAGATTTTTTTTCCAGTCTGAATCAGGAAGGGCAACCTTGCAAATCTGCATTCTCTCTTTCCTCCCCCTGTAAAATTGGATTCTGGATCTGATCTCTCCATTGGCCCCCAGGCCTCTCCTAACTGGTTGTTGTAGTTGGTGAAACAGCCTTGGGAATTTTTCTGATCTCCCACCCAGACCATATTAGCTCCCCAAATCTTGCTGACTTAAAATTCTCTCAGCAGTCATTCACAAAGATGGATTGATATTAATGGTGGAAAAAAAAAATAAGGTTTCTGTTCTTACAGCATTTAATTTCGGAGTATAAAAGCAGATGCAACTCTCATAATGAGTAAGCTTGAAGGGAATGTTTCAGTCAGAGTTCCATTTCAGATGGAATTGCTTCATGGGTGATTTTGATTTTAGATGCTAACTGCTTTTCAAAGAAAAAGTTAAGACCTGGTGACTTAGCCCACAGGTGTTTTCTCTTTTCCTTTTTTTTTTAAAAAAAAAAAAGCAAAATCCCTCTCCAGGTTCTTGATAGTGCTGTATTATGAGGAAAAAAAAAATGCTGCCTATATGAATTTCCTAGAATAATACTAAACCCCTGCCAGCTGCATTTTACAAAGTATGAAACAAGCCATTCACTCAAAACGACACTCGGGGGGGCACGGACTGTTGTCCACGTGCACTTCATTTTAATTTAATAGGCTTACTTTAGTGTGATTGGGTCTGTAATGCTATCCTAGGATTGCAGGAGTAAATTCTGAAAGCTGAGGCAGGGGGAAATCAGCTTTTATCAGCAGGTGCTGAGTGTCAGGGCCAAATACTGGCATTTCCTTTGCTCTTGGCAGGCCCAGCATCACTGAGCATTCCATGGCTCTGCTAGAACTGCGGGTGTGCAGCCCTTTGGCTAACCCGGTTATATACATAACTGCTTGTGCTGGAACTGATTGGAAACCAAATTTTCTCTCATTATTTTCTTTGGCTGCTCATGAGAAGATGTTCTGCTTTCTCTGTGCATCCTGCTTTTATTTAACAATTAAGGAAGGAGAGTAGCTGGGTGTTTCTACAAAGGTAATAACTCCAAATACCATTTTATCTGCTGTCAACCAGGACTCCTGGAACTGCCTGACTGAGCAGCGCTGCTGAAATACTCCTTGTGAAGCACCTTCAACTGGCTCAGCTTTTGCCGAGGTTTTGGCAGGCACTGCATGATGCAGTTGTAAAAAAAGTCTGAGTATCTAAGGCAGCGATTTTCAGACGGTGGTTTCTGAGGAGTTAAGCTGAACTGTAAACTGTGAGTTCATCAGCCCAGTGTAGCTGGTTTTGAGGTCAGAAAAAAGATGGTCTGTTAGCCCAAAATTTAGGGAATCTCAGCTCCGATGCTGGCCCATCGTTAACGGCAGGAGGACGTCTGCGTGTTCCCATCCCGCTGTCAGACCTGGTCCTTGGTTTGTAAGATTCCTGGCCCCAGAAATCCTGTGTCCTCCTGCCCAGAGCACTCACCGTTCTTGTGGGGAGATGGTGCTCCTTAAGGAACAGTTATTCTGTGTTTGCTTAGAAAGCATCATAGGGCTAATTATTCTCATTAGCTTTGAGCCACTAATAAATTATCTTTCCTATTGCTCTTCCATCACTCCGTAATGAGAGCCATTTAGTGAGATTTTGCAGATACTGCTTCCTCCCTCCTCTGCAACACCATCCCCTGCAAGCATTCATCATAGGAAAAAAGCTACATGAACAAAATCTTTTCAAATTAGTCTCTGGTGCCCCAGTTAAGTGGGTGGCTACATCACAGGCATGCAGAAGAGCCTTCTTCATTAATATGTGCAATTCTGCGTGAGCTGATTAGCTCTTGCAGTTCATTTGGTAGCAAATGTGTAAATCCGTCACACTCCAAATGCCAAATATGTGCACAGCTAAATTATGGAGAAGTAAGAAACTGCAAGAGTGGGAAGTCTTTTCTTGGAAGAAGAGGTCCTTACCCCATGCATTAAATTGGAGCCCTGGATTTATCTAGTGCATTTGTCACTCCTCTGCTTTGTCATTTTTATGCTTGCAAAACGAGTAATTCTTCCTGTCGTGTTGATGGCCCTTTCAGTATGTGTGGGTGTTCAATTTTGTGCCTAACATTTGTAACAGATGCCTGATATCTAGTCTCATTTCCCATAAAATAACAATAGCCACAACACAATGCAATCTTTCTTACACAGTAAGTGCTGAAAGCAAATTAACCAGTTACTAACTATGTATAATTAATAACCCAGCCACCATCACTCTTCTTGTTCTCTTTTTGCTTGTAAAAAACTTGAGAAAGAAGCGGGGAGAGTGAAATTAGGTTTTTAAATGTCTCTTTTTTTTTGCAGGGCAGTGCTGCATGGTTAAATGGAATAGTGTAGCTGCCAGCACAAGGTAAGCACTAAAAATGTCACCTGCCTATGGGGAGGGGCTGGTCTACTGCTGCAAGCATTAAGTGCCCTGAGTCAGCTACTCGGGGACCAAACAAGGAAATGGGCCTTTAGAGCTCCTGATTTATGCATGATTTTATTTCTTTTCATGCCAAGTAGCTGCAGAGCCAACTCAGCCTCAAGGCCTGGACTCACCAGCGCAGGCCAGCCCAGCACCCTCCATTTTGCTTTCTCTCAGTGTACAGGAAAATTGTAGCGCAGACCCAGCTTGATCTCGAACAAGAGCAATATTTTGGCATTATCTTCTGGCCATACGGGTTGTGGGAAAAGAGCTTTTTACTTCCCAAAAATTCTGCTGTGGGAAGCTGTCTTTTTCTAAGCTGAGCATAAACTCTCTAGACAACATTTCCTAGAAAACGTGCAGCATAATGACAAAAGTCCCATCGTGTAGCCTCCAGATTGCTGGTAATGGGACACTTATTCCTGTAGCCTGTCCTGTGAACATGGAACAGGGTGATCATGTCCAGTGTTTTCTGTTGCATCCCCAGCATGTACTGAAACCTCTCCAAGAGTGTAGGATTTGCTTACTGAGAGGGAAAGGACAGCTCTGTGCTCAGGCTGGCCTGCAGTGGATATGCAGTCCTCCCCAGGGACAATACAGAAAAGAAACTGTGGGTTGAGGCCTTTTTTTCCCCTCTCTTTTCAAAGAGAAACAGGCTGTCTTCAAGGCAGACCTTCCTCCATACAGTGGGAGGAGAACAGGCCCACAAGAAACCTACTACAGAAAGGCAAAGCCTCAGTGTGATGCTGCCCAGCTCCTTGCAGGTCCCTTAGGACTCTGGGGTGCACAACTCCTTCTACCTGCAGCAGACCCGAGAAGGATACCACAGGACTCCTAATTTTCCTAAAACCCACCTCTGTGCCCAAGCCTGACTTAGGCAAGAGAGCAGAACAAAGAAAGAGTTCACTTCGTAATAAAGTCATGTCTCCAGTGAAGTTCCACAGTATTAGGTGCATTAGGTATATTTTTGACTGATGTATAATCTTAATTGTTGTGTACTGTTTGTATTGTAGTCCCAAGATCCAGGTCCTCATTATGCTAGAGAGACTGTCATGCATGGAAAGGCTTTTATTATGTAAATAGGCTGTGAAAAAAGAAGTAGTGTTATCTCTGTTTTACAGATGAAGCAGTGAGAGGAAGAAAAAAAAAGGAGAAAGCATTTTGCCCAAGGACACGGGAAGTCTGTGGGTCAGTGGTGCACTTGAAAGTCAAATCTTGATTTAGTTTCTTACCAGCTTTTCTAATGTATAGTGCCCACAACATAATTAAAAATTAAGCACAACGAAGACAATACCATGTGTAATTTATCTCTATCATCTAGAACAATCACCCAGTATCTCTCAGCCAAATTCTCCCCAACTCTTCTGTTTCTTCAAAAGCTGTATTTTTATCATGTCCAATGCTCGTGCTCACCTTACAAGTCAAGTCACAGTACATGTCCTCTCATTTTCTGCAGGTAGGTCATGTTTGAGTAGGATTACAAACCTGTTTGGGAAAAGACCCAGTCTGGGGGTCTTTTCCCAAACATGGAGGGATCCTGTGTGGGGTCATGTCTCAAGTCACAGCAGCCTGCTGAATTTATATCAGAATCCTTTTAAAAAGTGGTATTATCAATATTTAGGATAAAAAAAGGATGCATATACATTTCTGACAGTGAATGTAGCAAGGCATCCAATATATTTATGACTGCTGCTCAACCCTGCCTGCTAGTCAAAAATACATATTGCTGTAACTACCTAATCTATACCAAAGACAAATAAAACACAGATTTCACTCAAGAGGCATAATATATTTTGCTTTGTGTACATCAAGGTTTTATGTCAGGCTTTAGGAAAGAATGTGGGAGGAGAAAATTATAGAAGTCATCACAGTCACTGGAAAACAGAGTAAAATTGAATTGGCATTTACTAAGGCTGACTAATACCAGACTAATTCAATAGCTTTCTTTGATACAGTAAGCAATTAGCTCAACAAAAAGGGAAATCTAACTGTCTGGACTTCAATAAAGTAGCTGATGAGAAGACGTGTATAAAATCGTGTCTCCTACGTGGAGAAGTCTGAGATTTATAGAGGAACTGCAAGGTGTTACAATGAGAGAAGTTAAGATGTGTTGAAAGGGAATTATTCAGAAGTCGTAAAAAGTAAGCCTCAATGTTGATTATTATTATTTTCATTAATGACCCATTTAGAAAACAGAAGTGCCTGATCATTAAAATGTATCAAAGTCACAAAATTAGGAGGTATTATCAGTGTAAAGAAAGTTCATAATATCCCACAGCAAGAACTGAATGTCCTTGAAGAGTAAGGCCACAGAAGTAGTGAGCTAGCAGCAGAAAAATATCTGCCAGAAACCAGCAACAACACTGAAAGGTTTTTAACCGTTTGCCCCAGTGCATGTGGACATGGCAAAAGCAACTGAAACTGTAAAATGCAGTAGCAGAGACATTTCCAGAAGAGCAAGGGAAGCATGAATGTCATAGAAGACCCCAACAAGGTTTTGTTTGGAATTAGATGCATTATTCTCATCAATAACTTTAAGGAAAGCCAAATTCTTAATGGAACAGGTAAAGAAAAGGGCTCCTCAGATGTGGAGGAGATTGGAGAGCCTTTCATAAAAGGAAAGTGTGTGTATGCAGCTCATTTAGCCTAGCAGCTGCAGACTGAGGTATGGTTTTATTATTCTTTGTAAATGCATCAGGTAGAGTAAATATGAAAGGCAGGCAATCTTGGCATATAATCAAACAGGTATAAATTGGGAATGAATAATTTTGATTCCCTACTAGGTGTTCTTTATCCACCTGCATAGTGAGGGTGTAAAAATTAGGGGGATAAAACCACACCTAGCTCCAACATGATGCTCATAGAATGTGTTAAATGCATTATGCAGTCCAGTTGCCTGCACTACCAGGGGGCTGGATTTGATAACCCAGAAAGTCCTGCCAGTCCTACATATTAGCATATCCCTATATCTTAGCAGGTTTCTATTGTACTGAGCTATCACCTCCATCTCATAATCTTATTAGATATTATAGTACCTAATAATCCCTTCAATCCTAAGAAACCTTTTTATCTTTCTAAATTAAATTTCAAGTAGAACATCCTAACTGTGGATTACAAAGCCATATGTGTTTTATTTTTCTTACTCAAGTAAGTTTGTTGTGGCTATTATCATAAACAAATTCCTTAAGGGACCAAGATCTGAATATACATTATAGTGTTTATGGCACAACTGTACCAACAAATAATGATTTCCTTATTTATTGTAATTGTTTAAATGGCTCCTGATGAAATTTTTGGCCTCATGAAGTGATCAGCTTGGAATGACTTTCCTTTCTATGAAAATATTTAAATACAAACAAAGTCTGCCAATGTGTTCAATTACAGTCATGTAGAGAACTAAAGGGATTATGCGTAGTAGGAATGTATTCATGTGGCTTTCCAGATCAGCTGCTTCTACCAGAGAGGGAATGAAGTAAGTGGAACAGCCCCAAAGAGAGACCGTTACTGTTGGGATGGCTTGGGACAGGATCATCAGAAAAGCTCACTTGTGTTATTTCCATAAGCCCACAAAGCTGATGGCCCTGTAAATAAAACTGCATTAACAACACGTTGCTTTTCAAACTAATTGAGATGCAGTGTGAAGATTACTTTTCAGAAATATGATGTTCTTTATGCAGGAGATCATGCTGGGCCCTGCTGCAACAAGAGCCATTGGGATAATGATGCTCTATTTTGTTCTAACATCTGCATTTATTACCAGTGAGATACTTTATGTGATATTATGAGGTGGCTTCAAACTCACAAAGCCCTTGAGAATTTAACACTATTGTTCCATGAAAGAAACGCTTCTGCCCATCACAGGCCCTAGCGCAGAGGGCTTTTGAAAGAGAAACAAGAAAATAAACTGGGTATTCTACTGGTGATTTTTATGACCTTGCTCACACTTCTGCTGATGCTGTGTTAGCAAGAACAGTTCATTCCAGTGAATATAATCTTAGCTCTTGTGATTACGGACACAGGCTTCTCTAAAACCTCTAAAACTAGATGCAATTTTTTTTTTTCAGAGTGCGGAATTGTCAGAACGTCACAAACAGCTGGGTTTTTAGCCAGCACCATGACTTCAGCAGCCTGGTTCAGAGTTTAAAGCATTTGTGATGATGCTGGGCAGCAGTCAACACATTCACGGATTCAGCATACCAGTATTTTCATGGGAATTGCCATTACCATCCAAGAAGCAGGAAGCACACTAATGGATTATTAGCCTGGTTTTCAGCTAAAGCTCCAGCTTGAATAATAACTCCAGCTTCAAGCACCACACTTTAAGAAAGCTATATTAAAAAAAAAAAAATCTAGAGAAAGGAGCAATAGAATTATAAAGATGTTCAGTAGACATAAGGGGTTTGTGGTGTTTTTGTTTGGTTGGTTGGTTTTTGTTTTTAATAAGATGAAAGGCTCTGGGTTTAGTTAGCCTAAATCAAAGAAGGCTTTTATTTTCCCCATAAAAATGGGTTACAAAGTGGATCAGCAATCTGATACATTCCACAGTTTAATTTGCTGTAGAGAAAACTGAAGTTGAATTTTCTGAATGACCTTCTGAGGGCCCGTTCAGACCTCTGTGCTTCTCCTGTGACTCCATCATCAACAAGCACAACTACTGCCAGCCTCTCAGGCTGGATAATTTTCCTTGGGGAAACCTGATTTAAAAGTCCTGTTTAAATCCAATGGACAAAGCCTAAAGGTCGTCTTCCCTGCTTTTAGTCATCTAAAAACAAGGTGTAGAAGTGCGGCTGGACATGTCTGCTCCCCCTGCAGTGACTGAGGAGAAATAGCGACAGAGAGCTTCACAGTGGGCTATTTCCAGATCCTTAAACTTTGGTGAGATAAATCCCATCCTAACTTGTCTCTGAGTGTTCACTGCTGGGTTTTGCTTTCAGCTGGCTCGTAACACATTAAGCAAGCATATGGCTTCATTGTTTTGTTGTACCAGGTAACATGCTGTCATCTCTGAGGGATCTGACACCACAGGGTCCTCCCTGTCCTCCTCTCTTGTCAATTTATGATGCTGTCCGTACCCTGTCTTTTACTGCTGTTCACCTCCTCCCCTCCTTTCAAAACACCTGCATTCCTCCCCACTCTTTGGTTTCCCTTTGCACTGGCTGGATTTACTTCTTACAAATCTCAGTTTTATCTCTGGCTGCAGCTTTTACTGATTTATTCAGTCCACAATGCCCCTCTAACGATGTTTTATGGCTTCCATGAATGTGGGGAGTCAATGGGACAAGACTATTTTAAGTGTAACTGGCTTGTTAGCCATGCAAATTCTTGAATAACAGGTATGATTTAGTGTTCACTGTGAGAGCTGGGAGTGCTGGAGCTTTAATCTGATTCTGCCACTATCTCTGTCAGTGACCTCATGCAATTTATGTAACCTCTTGGGGCCAGGTCTACCTGAAAATAAAGAATACTGTCTTCCCCTAGGAATGTGTAAGTCTTAACTAGTATATGTGTGTATAGTTTTTGAAGTCCTGTTTATGTAAATGCAAAACCCTTCAAAACATTTACAAAGGTCAAGAGAATTTTAGGGTTGAAACATAAACAGTTCAGAACGAGAAAAATTAAAATTACACATGTATGCACTTATCACAAACCTTTAGCAGCCTCTAATTAAGTAATCACTCCTCAGCATTACAGTAGATGCTGTCATATGCCGTTAAATTGTGTAGCAGCTTGTAATACTGTGCACTCTGTTTACACAGGATAAGGACTTTCTGGAAATCATTCAGAATAATGTATCATCTGAACGTATGCTGTAGTTGTGCCTACTAAGTCAGGATTAGAGATGTTCCCATGCTCAGCTCTACAAAAACCTGTCAGGGAACGCTGTTTCTTCCTGACAAGACACTAACTCAGAGACACAAAGTTGCTTATTCAAACAGGCAGACCCTCCATCCCTTGCCAGGCTGAAACAAGGCTTTTTGTGGTGCACATCTTTGGCAGTTTCCTCCCAGCGACCAGCTTTCGCTACAAGGATACCCAGAAAAGAGCCTTCTCCTGTGGTCTCCAGGATATCCTTTTTTTTTCCTTGAGCTTTTATGTTCAGAGAAAAACTACTCCACTAAGCACCTTCAGGTGACCTCTCTCCTGCAGTGGCCCCTCTGCTCACCTGTGCCTGCCTTCCTCTCCTACATCTCCATGCCACCTGCATCTCCTGACTCCCTGCCTCACCACTTCCCTGTCTCTTCCTCTGAAAACAATCTTTCTCTTATTTCCATCTTCCCTCCACCTCTGTTGCTCAACTCCAGAGCCATAGTCAACCTCATACCCCCTGCTGCAGCCTTCTTTGACACAGACAGTTTGACTCCTCAGCTTGGCGGAGCTTTGCTTGAAGCACAGAGGAGAAAGCCTGGAGGTTGACAGGGCGAAGTTAATTTCCAGCAACAGCAACTTAGTAAAGAGATCATTTTATCACACCTGGATCACCAGCATTCTCAGGGGCAGGGAGTGAGGTGATGTCTCACAGGTATCCAGGGTTGCCATAGGTGTCCACTTAAAAATAGTCTATGCTGCTTAGAGAAGGCAGACTTGAGGTTGGAGAGTGTTAATATGCATCAGTGCTATCCTCCTGCTTATGTTGCTCCTAAGTGAAGCTCGGTAGAGCCCATAAGTGCAGAGTGCAAGGTACATTATGATTCGGAGAAAACTCCAGGAACAAACTCGCCAACAAAGTTTTCAAGTTGACATGGAGGTATTCTTTATTGCGGTGCCGGGAGACATGGGCGATAGCTCCTCCTAACGTGTATCAGCATATTGCTACACAAGCCGTCCTTGTATAGTCACTGGGCATACATACCTATTCGTGAGGCTATGCGTGAATTACATCATTTTCCAGAAAGTTTCCTGCATGCGTACAAAAATGTGATGGTGGTCTTTGAGGGTCGTTTACTTCTCCCAACAATCTTCATAACTTCTGGCAGTCTTTGAAGCACCAGCTTAATTAACAGCACAGACATAGCAATCATCCTGTCCTTCTACCTATCAGTTTAACTGCTCCCACCCTGGACATCTGCTAGTCCCAGATACTCCCCATCCCCAGGTCCTGTTTTTTTTATTCTGTTTTTCTTACACTTTTTGTACTAAGGTCCTGAGGACCTAAACCGATGTCAACTACCTTCAAGCATGGCAGTTACTTTCCATTACAAAGCCATCAAACTTAATGTTACTTAGAACTGATTACATTTTGTGTATTTGTGCCTCCTTGCCTCAATTACCTCTACCCTGACGCTGTTTGCAATACTATAAGCACTTGGATAGTGAAGTAGTAACAGATGGAAGGAGAAATTAAAAGGCGTTAGCAAGGAAATAAGCTGCTTTCATTTCAGATTTGAGCCAATAGACTAAAATTGTATGATACAGAAGGAAAACAGTAATGTTGAAGAGCAATAGAGGGAGAAAAACATCCTTGTATCAGTAAAGAAACTAGTTGTAAAATAGGAATGTCACTTTGGGATTAGTAATGAGATTTGCAAATTTTTTTTTTTGTATCGCCTTTTATTGCCAGAACGTGCCCAGTTGGTTTGTCTGGCAGCTGGTGTCATCTCTGCGCAGTTCTTCTAGTGACAACTACGACAACATCAACCCTACCTCCTCCCCATCAGCAGCTGTATTTGCTGCCTCATCAGAAAACACCCAGTGTTCGTCTTGTGACTTACACAGCACATGCCGAGGTCTGTATGTGCCCATTGACCCTGGTGGAAATTAGGTAACTACAGTTGAACACTATTACACAGGAGAACCCAAGGAGCACAATTACTAAACCTCAGTTCTTTTGAAAATGAGGCTAATTAGAATCAGTCAGAGGTGTGAAGCAGAAAACCACCACTACCGTCCTGACACACTGGGGGCTCCTTGCAACACCAGTGGTGCCGGGACACTTCAAGTCGTTTGACCAACGGCCACCAACCCAGCGTCCCGGCCGGGCAGCCCTGTTCTGAGCGGCGGAAAGGCCTGCACCAAGTTCCGCCACCGGGAAAGACTGGTTCGCACCCCGTCCTCCTCACGAAGCCCACGCCGCAGGTCACTGCCCCGCAGCCACGCGAAACACCCCGCACGTCCTCCCTCAGCGCCGCCCCGCCCCGCCCGCGGAGCAATAGTGCGTCCGCTTCCGCGTCACGTGAGAGTCGTTCCCCCGCCGGCGGGGAGGGTGCGTGCGTGGCAGACGTAGACAGTACCCACAATGCCCGGCGCTCCCCGGTGCTGCTGCCGATCCGCTCCGGTGAGGCAAGTACCTCCAGCCCCTCCTCCGTGGGGCCGTTGCCAGGCGACACGGCGTGCCCGCCGGCGGCAGGGGAGGCGGGAGGAAAGGAGGGAGGCCGAGGGACGGGACGGGACGGTGCTGGAAGATGCTGCTACAGGGCCCTGTGTCTCCCCGCTCTATCCCGGGCCGCGGTCTCGGTTTCCGCCTGCGTTGTTCTTTCAGCTACAGTCCCGGGAGTGCCGGGGCACCGCGGGGCCGTCGATGTGACGGTGCGGGCGCAGGTCTGCTCCTGCGAGGCGAAGCGACTCGTCACCGGTTGTTCCGCCTTCCGGCCGCCCTCCTGCTCGGGTTACTGTGCCCTAGGGTGGCAGCCTGGCCGCTGGAGCTGCAGGATGAGGGAGGGGCCCGGCACCGGGGGCCTACAGCCGCGTGTCTCGCTGTTTGCTCCTGGCTGGGTGCAGCTGGCAGGACAGGTGCGGGAGGACACCGGAGGCACCTCAGGCCACTTCGTAAAGGCCGTTTCGTTTCGTGGTAGAAGCCCGTTGTAGCAGGGATCTGTTGCTGTCCCGGTTTGCGGGGTTAGGCAACAACGTTTTTGTATTAAGTTTTTCAGTCTAAGGCAGTATGAACCCATTTGAGTCAGTAACCACATTACTTCTTTCTGCTCTGCAGATAATAGTGTCAAAGCTACCGTATAAATAGGTGGTAGATGAAAGGGTCAAGTTCCCAAACTTGGGCATGTGGCTTGTTCTGTTCCCTTAGTTTTTCATAATCTGGACTCTTGAGTCCCTCTCTTTTTCCTATGCCTTATGGGAAGGATTATGTGGGCTAGTGGTTTAGGATTATTTCTTTGTCTGATCGTAGCTGATGATGTCAAAGTGGCTTTATTCGTTATGTCCTTCTGTAGCACTTCAGTTTGTAATATGGATTTCTGAAGTATGCTGTAGAGTGGATAATGCAGTTGTCACAACCCTCAAAAGTGGGACAGAAAATTATCCAATACTACTGTGTATGCTTGAAGTAAACACAGAAACTGTATTTTCGTTCCGTGTCAAGCAGGTGTGCGCCTTGCACCCACTTCCCAGTTTTATATTTTATGGAAGGTTGCCATAAGAGGCACATATCCTGACAAGAAGTGCCTTGATTAAGTTGGTGCTGAAGACTAGGCAGGTACACGAGGGTAGGCTTGCCATTGCACTAGATCTGTTTAGAATCTCAAATTTTGTAAGCTAGATTGTTTTTAAAAAATTGTAGTATCCTGAGCAAACCATGTTCACAGGTCATTTTCAAACACTTCCTTGTCAAAAAAGTGACAAGAAGATGTCAGAGAGGTATAAAACAATTACTGTAAGATCACAAGTTGGAAGACCAATTTATTACAAAGGAGTGGAACACATTCCACTTTCTAGGACTTTAGTAGATGCTGCCTCAGGATCAGATACCATCATAACATGAAAATAAACAAGCTGATAATTGAATATGTATTAAAAAAAAGTGCAGTAAACCAGATTCTGGTTTCCATCATCTGAGATTTCCCACTCATGGGAGGAAATTAAACTGAAGCCACATATGATAATTATTTGCAAAAGCAGGGGAGGTTGACATATATGGTAAGTTAACAGCTTCAGGGAGGGATGACCATTTTGGTTGACTGTTATCAAAGCTGTGGCCAGCTTTCCTCATGTTCCTCTTTTCCAGGAGCAATCCCAGCTCTTGTTTGCTGGGAGGGCTGTGAAATGTAGGTGTACGGGGAAATCAATAAAGATGAGTCAGAAGTAAGCACACACAGGGAAACTAAGAATAGCACAAGCATGGAGTGATGCTTCTGTGGTGTACTGTCCCTGTTAGTGACCCTTTGAGGGCAGAATCTTGCTGAGCAAATGGTAGTGTTTCAGTTTTAATCACCCCTGTAGTTTTTCTGTGAATTTTTCCAATTGCCTTTTCAATTCACTTAACATCTTAGCATGAACACATCCTGTGACAAGCAATTCCACTGTCATATTCACAAAATTGCATATTTTGTGAAGAACAATCTGTGGTAACCTTGAGCTGAACACCTGCTGATTGCATATGATGCTCCTCAGTTCTGTCATGGAATGAGATAGTGAACCCCAATCCCTGTTCATTTTTTGCACCCGTAATGGATTCATAGACCATTTTTTGGTGAAAGTGCAGTCTTTTGTCACCTTCAGGTGTTTGATGGATATAGATTTTTTTGGAGAAAGACCTATGAAATTTGTAATAGAGTGGTGAATTACTGTGTGCAACTCTGTATAGATGTATATAAGACATTTAATGACAGTTCTAAACCCACTACTGTATCTTTAATGGGCTTTCTTCAATTTCTACATGCATATGTCTATATCAAATTTATCACTTGGCTCCTTCTGTAGAGCTTTATTGTTTTGAGAGCCAAGTACAATAGTTCTTTCATTTTGAAGATTTAGTAAATTTTTCTCTATATTAATACATTTTCAAGTAAGGCTGAATGTTCTCTTGCAGTACGTGTATTACACATCTCTTTACATATGTGTGATCTTGCAGTCAAAGTGATTTTCTTTTATTAGCCGCATTTTTTAGATAGCATGCTGATTTCAGTGTTAGGAAGCTGAGGAAAAACTGCCCAGTTTCACTGGGTGGGTTTTTAAGGTGATGGTAATCAAGCCTGGCTGACTGGTGATCATAAGACTGTTCATCTAACCACCCTTTTTACCTAGTGTGATTTTATGGTACATTGAGAGAATTGGAAGGTTTTAATGGAGGCTTGTCTTCTGTTACAGAGACTAATTTCTCTACATATAAGTGGGAGTCTTGAAGCAAGTAACTCGTTTTTGTTCTGTATTTGTGTGAATATTTATTTACCTATAGACATAAAAATTGAAAGAATACCTCTGAAGAGGTCTTTATCCTTTGCTTTGTCTGTTGTCCATGCATACATGCTGTTATCAGTGATATTTGTATTCTTTGTCCTTAGTTGTAGGAGTAAAGCAACTATTGTTAGATTGACTGTTGAAAATCTTAATGCTTTGAAAATACAGTGGTAGTTGTATTCTGTTATGTTCCTGAAGTGTTCCAGTTTCTGATCAGAGGAGATTATAGATTAATTAGTGTATGAGGTAAATGATGACATTCAGAGTCAAAGGTTGCTTTACCCTGAGTTACTCATGACTGTGCAGACAGGTAACGTATTTTCCCATTTTAAATGGCAGAAATTATGGGACTTCTTCAAATTCACTTAAAGAATAGATATTAACTTAAAAAATAGAAAAAATTTAATACTTATTCTAGTTTTCTT